CTTACAACTAAAGTGAAAAAAAAAAAAAAAAAAAAAAAAAAAAAAAAACTGCTAAGATATTTTTGTTTCAGTTAAGTCACTTGCTACGAAAAACTAAAGATTAGTCTTAAAGTTTGACATTTTTTGTTGTTCATTGTTATACTTTTGAGATCACGAAGAAAGTAATTGTCCCCACAGCAACGCCAAGTGAAGTTCAGTGATTTAAATTCATTTAAAGAAGCAATAACACCTTCAATAAAACAGACCTTCAATTCAAGGTCATTTCACTAAAAAGGACTGCCGAGTCTTTGTGGCGTACAAATCGAGTCTTATAAAATTTTCAGCAGCATTATTTTTTGTTTACTTTATTTTATAAAAATAGCCTTTTGTAGCATAGGAAGGTCATCTGTTGCATTGTACTTTGAACAAAAAGAATTTTATCCTCTTTATCATTTCCGTCATATGGCAAATTTCTGTTGTGACAGTTTAAAAGTTGTTTTGCATATCGTTTTGAAATCGACGAGTCTTAATATTAAAAAAAAAAAAAAAAAATTTAATCACAAGACGAAAAAAAAATATAGTATTCTTTTAAAAAAAATTTTTTTCATCATAAAACAAGAAAGTTGTTCCACTGTATATAAAAAGATTTTAATTTCTTTACAAAAATCGTAATATTTCAAAGTATATTTTATCGAAATATCTAAGTCCAACAGTAAGTATGTACATTCATCATTTGATAAATAGTAAAAAATTTCATTGTTCCTGTTTTNTAATATTTCAAAGTATATTTTATCGAAATATCTAAGTCCAACAGTAAGTATGTACATTCATCATTTGATAAATAGTAAAAAATTTCATTGTTCCTGTTTTTGCTACTTTATTTTTATGTTTGAAAAGTAGAATGAGAGATAGAAAAAAATCATCAACTAAAAATTTTCTTGTATTATTGCTTAATGAATGGAAGACTAACTTCAAAAGATCATAAGAAAAAAAATAATAATAACAATAAAAAAAATTTGGTATACAATAATTGTCTCTACGCAAGCTGTACACGAGTTTTAGTGTTTGATCCAATACAGCATCAGGTGATAAATACTTAGCTTTAATTTTTAGTTACATTTTATTATTTATATTATGTACAGACACATAATAGACAAATATTTCTGTTTTACTAAGGGTATTTTTTGACAGTTATTGTGTACATTTGCCCGTACATGGACAGGCGAAATTCAGACACAATATGATTTTTCTCTTTTGCACATTGTATCAGCGAGTGTACGACAACTAGTTTTGGCATATTTTGTTATAATACCTCCTTCTAAGAAAAAAAAAAAAAAACTATAATAATCGGATATCCCAAAGTTGTAATGCAAGCTGTTTCTAAATTAGCGTACGTTTATCGATGAAACACATCATTGACCTTTTGTAGCTTATTACCAAATAAACAAAATCCCTGCGGTTTGTTAGTTTTTCCATGACTAAGTATTATTATAAAATGCATGTACTTTCTTTTGTCGAAATTTTTCATATTATACAGCAAGTGTATTTTTATATCCACCCAACACTGCGCTATACCCTACGATACGATAATTTTAACGATCCTCCTCGTCCGAGTTAACCAAAATCGTCGTAGCAAGAAAAATCAACATTTTCATCATCCTTCCGACATTTATTTTTAATCTACAAATCTGTACAGGACAATGGGCAGCTTTGCACCTCGCTACCGTCGAATCTCTGACCACAACGCCTCGAAAAAACCAACCTCGCGTGTGCATCGTTTCCAGGTACTGGGTAACATTTTTCTTTTTTTCTTTTGTTTTTTTTTTTTTTTTTTTCTTCTTGTATTTACTCTGCTCTGTCTTTCTAGTTAAGTATGTGATGACACCCATGGCTCATTTTCTTTTTTTTTTTTTTTTTTTTTTTTTTTTTTTCGTCTTACGCCGAGATCTCCGTGCCTGATCGGCGCGTAAGCCAAAGTTTCACCCCAACTCGCTTCGACAAGAATCAATCGATCGCTCGATCCCCAAATCCTCTATTAAAATATGTCCTCCACGTCCGCGTAGTTTCTGTCCCAGTAGCCGCCCTGGTAAAGCCAATCCTCGAGCCCCGTGTGGTTGTTCGTGCCCTTCAGGAACCACCTAACGCCAAAACAACGGTAAATCACCAAAGATCCCCCTCGTTAATTCTTCCTCCCTCATGTATACACACACACAATTGTACTCGCCTGGGAACCGATTCATTGGGAGGGTTCTTCTTGTGCTTGGACGATTTCCGACTGACCCTCTGCTTCTCCTCGAGCCTGGACTTCTCGCTGGCCGCGCCGTCCTGATCCCCGCTCTCCAGTTTCCGTATGTCCGGCCTCAGTCTCGAGTCCGTCGGGCATATGTGCTCCTTCAGTTCCGGCTCCAGTTCGTTCAGCGACATGGCAAACGTGGTGAACTGATAGTACTGTACAAAAAAAAAAAAAAAAAAAAAAAAAAAAAAAAAAAAAAAAAAAAAAAAAAAAAA